TAAAACAGATAACGGATCTCAGGTGGAGAGTAAGCATCAGAAACAGATGAAGTCACAAGACAAAAATCTTATGTCCCTATTTTCCTGTTTTCATGCAAATGTCCCAGTAATTAAATCGGAAAAAATGTAGCAAAAACATATCAGCCAAATGGTTTTAAAATTTCAAAAGAAGCTGTAAATATGGTCCTTTTTAGAAGATCAGGTTCTAACTAGAGTATGAAAAAGGGTAGCATTTGTTCTGATGAAGCAGTTTTTAAATTCTTGTCAGTGATTTGAAAAGAGATAACTGATGTATATTGAAGAAGCCTGCGAGATTTTTAAATAGTTCGGACGCTATGGGGAGCATTTTTTTTCCTTAAAGCAATGTACTCAGAAGTGTTGGCAAGATTTTATTTGAACGTAGCAGTGCTTATGTGAGGAAGTTATTTTGAATTACCCTAGTATAAATATGTATGACTTTATTTGTATTGAAAATTTCCTTTGCAAGTGAGCGAATGAGGGACTGTTACATATCTCTATCACTTTGTAAATGATTTAGGTATTTCATTTTGGAAATAAAATATCATACCCAGAATTCAAAAATAATATCAGAATTCTGTTTGTGCCCACAGGTGATTCTTGCACCTACATTCATACCTTTTAATTTTAATTTGCCATGTAGAACAAATGGTATTTGTTATTTTAAGTCTGGTTTTTTTATATAGCATTTTTGCATACATACATTCATTCACTCATTCACCAGAGATTTACACAGCCCCTCTCAGAAACCAAGCACTATGCTAGGTACTGGGCGTGCAGCAATAGTATTGAACTGTCCTTTGCCATAACATATTTCAGGTAAACATTCTATTTCCTCCAGGCAATATTCTGTAGCACAGTGAAATTTTCAAATCTTTGGGTCATATCTTATTATTTAAAGGCTAAGCATGTTGAAGGCTGTGAACAAGCCTAGTATTGTAAGCGTTTTCCCTCTAAATATAGAATATCAAAAGAAAAGTAAGAAGAGGTGAGGGCCCCAAGAAATAAGGCCCAAAGCAGAGGGAGGCAAGAGGAGGGCAGGAAGGGTATTGAAGAAAACATTAAAATCAAAGCTCAAACTTTCCCCTTAATAACTTTGGGCAGCCAGTTGCTTTTCTACATGAAAATGAAGCTGCTAGCAAGAAAATCATCCACCCCATTAGTTATGGTGCTATCTACTTATAGAAGGAAAAACAAAACAAAATTCATCTTCTCTGTTTTTCTTCTTCTTTTTTTTTTCTTTGAGATGGAGTTCCACTCTGTCACCCAGGCTGGAATGCAGTGGCACAATCTCAGCTTACTGCAAACTTTGCCTCCCAGGTTCAAGCAATTCTTCTGCCTCAGCATCCCAAGTAGCTGGGACTACAGGTGCACGCCACCACATCTGGATAATTTTTGTATTTTTAGCAGAGATGGGGTTTCACCATTTTGGCCAGACTGGTCTCAAATTCCCGACCTCGTGATCCTGCCTGCCTCAGCCTCCCAAATGTATTCCTTCTTTAGCTATTTTGTGGGATTGGAAGGGAAAGGGATCATTAATCCTAAATTATTACTTCACCTTCCCTTCATAAGCAACACATCTCTTCTAGTTCATTCCCGTCTCTCCTTATGATTTCTTTCCTTGATCAGAGAAAACCTATTCTATTTTAATGTGTTTGCTTAAAAGCAAACTATAAGAAGGCTTATCAGAGTCATTTATTTAAAGAATGAGACAAACATATATATGCAGTTCTGTATTGGCTCCCTCAATTCTTTTTTAGGCTGTGTATAAAAGTGACACAAAAAAGAGGAGGAAAACACTTTGTGTTAAATAATGTAATCAAGAACATAACTTTGTAAAAAGGAGGCTATAGTGTCTTATGTACCCATGGTCCCCGCCTGCTACCCTCATCTGTCCTCATTCTTATCTCAAGTTATAAGTTTTAAGTAGGAAATCGGTTTATATGTCCCTAAACCTTCTAAATGAATGACAGATTCCACAAATAGCAACAAATATTACTATATAACAGGCATTATTCCAGGGGGTTGCAAAAGAGACATCAGTGATAAATCACCTTCCTTTGTCAAATAAATTACTATTTGGAGATCATAAATGAAGCAACAGTTTAAATTGTTCCAAGTGACGGTGCTTTGCATTAATATCATAAAAGCATTACTGTCCCTCAAATTCAAAGTTCAAGGTGATTTCAAATGACATTCACATCATATTTCACCTAACCCTGAACGTTTTCTTCAACCATGCAAGAATCCTCCTTAGGTGCAGCAAAACTTCATTATAGATCAGCTTTAGGCTGTAACAAATAATGTTTCAATATCCCATGGAGCTATATGACAGTATGTAATAATATGACTCAGGACTATTCTGATTTCTCTAAACTGAAATTCCAAATTCTTAGCAGATAGATAAATTAAGCTTTTAAAAAATGGAGCTTTAATTTTTCCTTCCTGTTTTAAAACACCAAATATTTTCTGTGAACTTTCAGCTTCGTTCTGTCCCTCTTGTCTAGAAGGGTGCTAGCTGAGTGCCAAGAACAACAGGTAAGCCAGCGTCCCTCAACCCAGAAAAATTATGCCTTTGCCACAGGAGCCATACTTACGCTTCCACAATGGCCAGGGAAAAACCTAATGGGAACAGATTTTTTTGCATGTGTAGCAAAGTGAGTTCCAGAGAGAAAGAAAGAAGCCTGGTTTGCACTGTAGCAGAACCATTGGAACAATATGCTCCCTGTGTCCGCGGCCCCATCCTCCCTGGACACCCTCCTTTCTAGGGCATAGGGTAGAAAAGTCACATACACAGTAGATCATGCCAGGGCCTGCTGACACAACCCTACTCCCAAATTTGCAGGCAGGAGAGTGAAGCAATGTCTGTACTCTATACATAGCCTTTTTTCTTTTCTTTTTTAAATTAGATGTTTCAGCATTCAATTGGGGGCAAGAGGGGTTGAGGAATGGAAGAAGATAGTGCAGGCAAACTTTTCAGTGCTATTCCATCCCTCTATGCCTCCCCACTCCTTCAAGCCTCTGAAGTTAGGCAAAGCCAGGTAAAGAGTTCTGAACAATATTGAGACCCTCTTATGTTTACCTTGAACAAATAGGATCTTTGACACTTCTTGACTACACTTAGCTGCCTGGAAGAGTGCTTCCTCCTATAGCAAGTCATATAGGGAGAATGCACTGAAAAAAAGGTTTTTTCCTTACAATTGCAAATGAAAGAATAAGATATGTCATCAAATTTTAAAGTGTGCACATGTCCTCATCTCAGCTGTTGACATCATATTTATAATCATGAGCACCCCAGGTTTTCTACAACTTAAGAAATTCTATGAGCATATTACTTTTCCAACTTTATCAGTAAACATTGATTTCTGTATAATGCAGAAACCAGTTAAATAATTCCTGGCCCAGTGCAGTGGCTCCCACCTGTAATCCCAGTGCTCTGGGAGGCCGAGGTGGGAGGATCACCTGAGGTCAGGAATTTGAGACCAGCCTGGCCAACATGGTGAAAACTCATCTCTACTAAAGATACAAAAAATTAGACAGGCATGGTGGCAGGTGCCTGTAATCCCAGCTGCTTGGGAGGCTGAGGCAGAAGAGTCGCTTGAACCTGGGAGGTGGAGGTTGCAGTAAGACAAGATCGCACCATTACACTCCAGCCTGGGCAACAAGAGCAGAACTCTGTCTCAATAATAATAATAATAGTAATTCCTAAAAACAAAATCATTAAAACAAATAAGTAGCCATAAAATCATTAAAAATTATAATATAAAATAAACAACATCTAAAAGACATGTTACATCAGCTCTGGCTTTCCATAATTTAACTTCATGTATTTTTCAGGTAATTCATTTTAGTAGGAATTACTATTAATTGATACACCTGCCCTGTCCCATACATTTTGTATACAGTCATATTTTCTTCACCATAACAGGTTTGAATCTAAGAACTCTTTTGCCTATTTTAAAAATGAGGTTCACATGGGTAAGGTAACTTATCCTCAATACACACTATTTACCAAGTTGGGAGCCAAATACAGTTTATCTAATTCCAAAACCTGTATCTTTACCAGTATAATACATTAACACTGAGGATCTAGTGTCAAATATACTAATGTCTAGTTTCCAATCAACAAGTGCTAAAAGAAGTTATATAAGAAATAAAAACTATTCCATGACATGCCTAGACCATGATGTCCCCTTCATCACTAACTTGTCCTGTGCTTGGGCCCAGTGTTGGAGCCAGTTGAGCTAACAAGAACCTCCCATGGGAGCTTCTCCTGAGGCTGGTGCCTGGGAGAAGAGACTGGACCAGAAAACATACTTTATCTGGGAAGCCAGAGGCACCAAAGCCAGAGAAACTTTGGCTCAAGGACTTGAGCCAATATTGTAACTGGAAAAATGAGCCTAAGTGTTAGATCCAAAAGGCAAAATAAGCCATACGTGGAAAAACAAGGGCCAACCACAGCATCCAGGAAGCCTGGAAATGGGTCACAAAGCAGTGTGCAGAGCGGGTGGGCACAAGTGGGACAGAAACACATCTGGGAAAGGTAAAAAGATGTTGGATGTCACATAAATATGGTGTTGGCCCTGGGGGAGGACCTGGCAGATTCAAAAGCCCACCAGGAACCAGATGCTTGAATTCTGGGGAAAGTTACTGACACTCCATAGGCCACAATTTTTCTCATCTAATAAAATGGACCCAGTTGTAATCCCTTCAGATCTGCTATCAGAATTAAATGATATGTGAAGGGATTTAGCACTGGGCCAAGCCTAGAAAAGCAGGGTTTTTTTCTTAGCTATTATTACTTTATAGTTGTGATTGCCATGGAGATGATGATAATTTTTGAGAGTAAAGTTTTTATATTTAAGTACCTGAAAGAACCCTGAAAAAAAAATCACCCTTAGAATGGTACAAAATTAAAACTGAGTACAGAACAAAGTTTATAATTTGAGCCTTTTAACGGAATAAAGAATATTAAAGAAGACCTTGAAGCAAGCATGAAGTAATCTCCAGGTCACTAGACAATTTGCAGGTGCAAACCATTTCTGGTCCCATTGTCAGAGGGAGAAAAAAGGTACAGGTCACACCCAGTCTCCTATGCTGATGTCCAAATGTCTGGTGGTTAGTCTTGACCTAAAAAGAGCAAGGAATGGATGCTTTGAGAAAAGAAACAATTAACAGACCCTTTAAGAACTACAGATATAAGTATTTTGAGAAGTCTTCAAGAAAACAAGAACAACAACAAAAAAATCAGTGTTAGAATTACATCACCATAATTTTTCTCCTTACCATTTGTAATGATTTTTCAGTTTTACATCAAAAAGAAAATCTGGTCTTGCGGACATTTAAGAGACTAGGGAATTTCATTTTCCACTTAATAAACTGATTTTCTCCACCACTCTAGGTACTTGAAATTAGCGCAAACCCCAGGCTAGCTACAATTCCAAAAGGGAATGCTCAGTTCATTATGAATGGTCTTAAAGCAAATAGTACTCTGACAGCCAAATTCCTGGTCTTCAAATTTGTAATTTTGCCCTTTTTTTTCACAAGTCTTACTGAAGACCACTTCTGAGCTTCTGCACATTTAACCCTTACACTCAAAGACATGTTGTTACTAAATAACACAGGAAACTTCAACTTTATACATTTGGACTAAATTCCTTTTCAAAAAAAAGTCTAATATTTATAACCAAATTATGACCATATTGAATACACTAAATTAACTACTGAACTAACAGAAAGGAAATACTGTATTTATTTTCACTTCCATGGCTATGCATCCTTTGAACAGTTTGAAAGAATCATAAACCAGCCATAAATCCTACGATGCTTTTCATTTTCTTTCTTCACTTAATAACACAGCACTGATTTTTCAATTAAAAAAATAATACTCAAAAGTAGTTTTTAATAATCAAAATTAATTTTACTATCTTTAGTTGATCTGTATGTTACTCGTTAAACCTTTCATTATAATAATAACGCCACAATATAGTGAAGCTTTATGCATTACTTCATTTAATTCTCAATAAAATCCCAAGGAATAGGCATTATTATTGTACTCACATTGGAGATTAAAAATAAAACAAGCTTATAGGAGATTTCCTATAATCACACAGGTAGTCATCTGCAGGGCTAGTATTTAAAATAGATATTAACACTTTGGACTTTAACTGGCACAGAAGGATAAAAATATCAGTGATATGCTTACTTAATCATTTTTAATAATTTAAATCAGTCCACATATTTGTAAGTAAAAGACAAAAATGATCTTAAATACAAGGCCTGAGTTATTTGTCAATTGCCACAATTTTCCACCTTTAGACTTGAATTAATAGACATAACTAAAAATTTAAATGACAAAATTCCAATAAGAAAACATAGTGCATAATTAGTGCACATCTCTGAATTTGGGGCGGAGAGTGACTTCATTTTACATAGGGTATTGTTTTTCCTAATTAATTGTAGTCTGCCACGTATTTGTATGTGATTGCCTCATAAATGGTTTACAAATTGTTAAGAAGTTTATGGATGTCTAGAAAGAATATTACTGCTCAATAAATAAACTTTTACAAGTGTAGAAGAGAAATTTTACATTAAAATGTGACTTTGTTTCTTCATCCTGAGAGAATGAATTTTAAAAAAACACATTTAAAATCAAGCATTAGATATGCAAATATGTGTTCAGATCAGAGATACCAAAATTATTCAAATGATTAATTATTCATCATAAAATGTCAATTAATAATTATGAAGCAGAAAAGGCATCTTTCTAATGCATCTTTATTTTTCTTGGCCTAAAAAAAGGCTAAATATACATGTTCAATTGACTTCTAACAAGTTTTTAAAATTCAACAAAGTAAACAAATTGTAAACAAACGCAAACTCTGAATTTTAATGAGAACAACCAATATGCCCAAAGTGAAGGGGAGAGCAAAAAATAAAAAAGAAAAGAAAACCAAACAAAAATAGTTATGTTTATGACCTATGTGGCCTCATGCTCACTCACCTGCTAGGTAATGGACAGCGGCCCAGCCTAGCCAAGAAAACAACCTAACAAACCAAGTTGTGAATTTGCTTAGCAATGTGCAAAGTACGTGACATCATGATGTTTCTCTCTGAATTGATCAGTCTTTGTTGGGGTTCATGGGGAGTGCTTTGGGAATTTCTTTACCCTTTCCAAATAGTCATTAAAAGAAAAGCACAGTTTAAGTTTCATAAAATTACCTATCGTAATATCTGAAGTCTGTTAACAAACTAAGCATTACTAAAATATGGCTGTAAACAAAATTTTTCACATTGCCTTAATTCTAAAGAATGCCCCTATGCCAAATATTATTTAGTTTTTTTTCCAGGAAGATTGTATCTTGTCTTTTAAAATTATCAGTCTGAGCTGATGTGATAATATAGAAGAATAAACCATTATGGTCACTGCAATACGATTTATTTTATTTTTATTATTATTATTTTACTCTTCACTGACACCTGGTGAACTTGTCTCTGAGACCCGGGGAGTTATTTTAGTCAAGGTGTCCCCACCCTCCTGCTGGTAGATTAATTACACATTAAACGTTGAGTTTTCAAAACGAAATGATAAATCTGGACACATAAAAGAGGCACAAAAAGAATCACAGCGAGGGAGAAGAGGGGATGTTAAGAAAGAAAACAAGAAATTGCAAAAGGTATCAGATAGAAAGGAGAACGTAGGAAATGCAACTAGGAAAGAATTTCAAGATAATAAGGATAAAGGGCAGGGAGGGCTGAAAGGAGGGCCAGAGAGAGGAAAAGCAGGAGGGAGATTTTTGGTTTTCAATTCCCTGATGAGGCTGCTGGCGTCCGCGCCCTTAACGCCCCAGCCTTCCAAGTTGAGGCGAAAGCCACCTCCTCGGGCCTGCGTCGCATCCAACTTACTCCAAGTTTTCTGGTGACTCCTACAGGGCCCCTCTCCGTCCCCCCTCCCCCCTTTGTGAGATTGACAGTCGCGTGGAGGAGGCTTTTCCAGGCACAGCCTTTCTCATGGTAATCAGCCCCCAGCATCACCTCCCGGTCGCGGCTGCTCCCGCTCGGAGCGCGGCTAGCGGACCCCGGGGACCGGAAACAGGGCGGCGGGCGGGGAGCAGGCGAGCGAGCCAGGTCAGCTGACCGGGCGGCGGGCGGGGGTCGCGGGCTCCCGGGCGGGGACAGGTCTGGGGGAGGGCGGTTGGGTGGGAGGGGGCCGACCCCCCCCCGGGGGCCGACCCCCCCCCCACCCCGCGCTCCTCCGCCAGTGTAGCGGGGCCTTTCCTGGAGATCAAATGCAGGGACCGAAGCTGGCGGCGGGGGTTGGGGCGGGGTGGGGGGGTGGGGGCAGAGCGCGCGGAAAATTGGGGACAACAAGCAGACCTGTTTAGCATCAATAAATTAAGATGCTCATTTGGGTCCTGAAGTTTGCTGGTTCCTGTCAGTGGAGACGTTGGCAAAAGCCCTGAAGCCGAGATTCAGCCTTTACTTCAAAAAAATAAAATAAAATAAAATAAACCCCTCAGCTGGCAGCCCTGCTGGGACCAGGTGACGTGCGAGATTCCACAGCCTGCGGGTCTCGCAGCAGGGATGTTAGGGACGGTCTGAGCTTCTCTGGTTCTGTTTTGGTTTTGTTTGAAAGGGCTTCTCAGAGAGATGCTCCTGATTTTTTTTTTTTTTTAATAGACTTTCCCCTCCTATCCTAGGCTCAACTCCGAATGGATTGGATTGCGAGTCTGCACGTGAGAAAACCGTTTGGCTTGCCTTGGACCCCTGCCGCCCCCCACCCCCTCCACACACACCCAATGCAGGGTCCCCTTTATCACCCTTTGCTTGGAACTCCAAAAGAAGTTGCCCACCTCCTGAGTCACAACACAAGGTCGAATAATTCCTCCAGATGAAAGATCAGTTCCATTTCAAAACGAGAATAGGTTCCTTTTTTTATTCTCTCCACATGGTACAAAATAAACAGAATTTGCTTTAAAAAAAATCATTAACTATGGCCAAATTCCAATTCCTTCTACAGCCTGTGTATTCAAGGGCAGAAACATTGTATCTCTTCGGGCATCTGGGCCGCCAAGCTGAGCGGGGGAGGGGGGAGCGGCTGTGAAAGTTGAGGAAATTGACAGACTGAGAGGTGAATGGGGGGACAGGCATCAGGTCTTGGCTGGAGGGAATTGGAAAACAAAAGTGCATCCTTCTCACCCTGCCTGGGTGGAGGGAATCCTGAGGTAGGCAGGCAGTTTGTTTTGCCCATGGAAACCCTAAAGAATTATTTTTCCCCCTTCAATGTTGATTGCAATATTATTTCACATTTCCGTGTATCTGTTGTTTTAATCTCTTTCGTCTGCGCTAATCTCGAAGTGGATTATTAATGGGGAAGACAGAGAGAAGGAGCGATTCATTTGCAGGACTTATTTTGCTGTGTGAGGAGCCGAAAGCCAGCAGCCCCCAGTCCTCTCTCGACTTTTCTCTGCGTCCTGCGCTCCTGCATCCCCCTGATCCCACGATCCCCATTGTCCCCGGACCTGGCCCTCGGACTGAGAGAATGTTCGGAACAAATTTATATTCCGGCTTCCACCCAACCCCATCACCTCTGCCACGTTGGGAACTCTCTCGGCCAAATGCCTGGGGAGGGGCGTGCCAGTCAGGAACGAGGGGCAACCTAGCCGCGCGCTCACCCCTCTGAGAGACCCTTCCCGTGCCAACATCCAAACATCCACCTTTATGGAAACTTGGAAGGTTGCTTTTTCACCCCAAATCAAATACTGGCCAGTCGGAACTCCCAGTGCTACATGTTGGGGACTGTCTCCTGCCACGTGAACGATTACTGAGTCCAGGGTAATCAGATGATTAGGTGTTTTCAGTGGAAATACTTAAGGGTCTTTTTTTTTTTTTTTAAGTCAGATCCTAAGTAACTTGACATTTAATATACATAATAAAGACAAGTGTTTTGTTAGCTATTCGGTTAGATCCTTTGACCTGAGGTTACGCTTGTGTGTGTCTGGGCTGTAAGCTTCCAATGGCTACCTGGATGCCTGAAGAGTATTGCCTGGAATCACTCTAGGCAATGGGCTCCTTCTTCCTTAGGAGTGAAAGAGGAGTGGCTGTAAAGCAAACTTCTAGAGAAAGCTGGACTCCAATTTTTTAAATTAAAAAAGAGAAAAAAAGGAGAAGAAAAATGGACATGAACAGTGGTGCTAAATCTTAGAAGAGGAACTTGATAGGTCACACATATATTTAGTATAGCTATATAACAGTGAAAGAAATGTAAAATATAAAATTCAAAATGTATCTGACCCATGTTGAAAATATTTGATTTTATTTATCAATAATTTTAAGCTGAAGATCCTGAATACCTTTCTTCTATAGACACTTTATCTGTGATGGGGTGGGGGGAGAGAGTTAATTTATCCAGCAGCTATTATAATAAATATTTAAATTAGGAAAGAGGTGAGTCTGTAACCAACTGTGAAAATCTTTCTTGCATCCTAGAACAAGATCTAGCTGTGGTCGTGCTTGGTAGCTATTAACCACCCCCTCCCCACCCTACCCCCCAAAACATACAAAATACAAAGACGTGTACCTCTGGGAGTGTGGATGTGGCAACCCATGTGGTAGTTTGTCCCTCCTTTGAGTGCAATTGCCAGTGACTCTTGCATTCAAAGTCTTGCTTTAGGCACACATTCAAAGCATAGTTCAAAGCAGTTTATCTTAATATAGTGTTGGATCAGGGTATTATTTGTTTCAGATTTCATCAGACTGGAAACAGGAGGGTGTAACGTATTTAACAATATTAAAGCTTAAAAATTGGTGCGAGGCAGCTCTCTGGTCTTCACACCTCCTCCACCTTTACCTTTCCAAAGGATCCTAAATGCTGTGAGACTAGAAGTTTATTTGTGCTCTGAGGTTCTCAAGCACTTTCACTCTTTAGGGGGAAAAAAAGTCTTACAGTTCTTTAAGAAATTGAGCCTGAACCATCCGAGGAAAGGAGATTTCTTCCTTTTCCGATAAATGCCTGTGCTCAGCATCCTCAAATTTGGCTGTCTTTATTTACTTCTATATTAGTTCCAATTATGTGCAGTGTAAACCAGCTTTTTGATTAACAAAACAGCAGAGCATTGGTTAAGAACACTTAAACTTCAAAAAAATTCCCCTGGGAAGTGGGCTCTGAATTGGTTAATAATGTGCAGTACTTGCTAAATTGCTGACTTCCAGATGTGGAAAATATCTTTCTTGTTTAGGACCTATGTAACCTGATTGGATTACGACAGAAGCGTCACGTTGGAAGCTTTTGAGTGATTATTTAATTAACCATACAGTAGAAAGCTGTATTCTCCAGGAAATCCCTTCCATATTTGCATAACCAATCCCTTCAGAGCAAAGGTGGAGTCTTTTCTTTTTAATTTTACTTTAATTGTAATATCAAAAAATATATACTCCAAAACTTAGACCCCATGCCGTTTAATATCATGCTCTTCCTTCCCTGCTAAGTTTCTCTGTGGCCTTTCTCTTTTCTCCTCCTGCCTCCTTACACTCTCTCCCTCACTTTATAGTGAGGTCTCCCTAAGATGTAGAGAGATTCAGAGATCGGGAGTGTTCTATGTTAATTTACTTAGAGATCCTTTATTAAAATGCCAAACTACTTTTTAATATTAGGATCCAATCCAGAAATTCATCACACACACACCCTAACACACATGCCCTAAGATGCCGCTCTCATGCATTTTTTTTTTTTTTCTGGCTCTGGTACCTAAAAAGAAAATAATAATAATAATAATAAGAGAAAGGATAGCTAATTTTGTTCCAGAAGCTGTGCTGAGATATCCACAGAATTTGTTGTGCATCTCAGATCTGATCATTAGAGATATCTGTACAAGAAGAGACGATCTGGATTTGAGATTTGAGGACCCGGGATCTTTCCCTTTAACTTTCGCCCCTTAGAGTTCTCCAGTTCTGTGAATGGTGTGCACGGTTTTCCGCCCTGTACTCTGTAGGATTTAGTGATGAGGATAATGATGCCAAAGGCTTGACGGGCGGGCGGGGGGGGGGGGGGGGGGAGAAAAAGGGAGGGAGGGAGGGAGGGAGGCGAAGGCGAAAGGGAGGGAGAGAGGAAGGGAGGGAGGTGGAATTTCATTTCTTCCACTAAAGCGTTTGCGGAGACTTCAAGGTATAATCTATCCCAGATCCTTTCCCAGAGAGAAACTTGGCGATCACGTTTTCACATGATGCTCACGCTCAGGGCGCTTCAATTATCCCTCCCCACAAAGATAGGTGGCGCGTGTTTCAGGGTCTCTCGTCTCTCTCCTACAGAAAAGAAAAAGAAAAAAATGTCATTAGAAGAGGCGTAACACGTCAGTCCGTCCCCAGGTTTGTGTTTCCTAGAGTGGCCGAAAGAGATCAGTTCTAACCTGCTCCGCAGGAATAACGGTCCTGCCTCCCGACACTCTTGGCGAGGTTTTTGTACAGTTTGCTCCGGGAGCTGTTTCTTCGCTTCCACCTTTTTCTCCCCCACACTTCGCGGCTTCTTCATGCTTTTTCTTCTCACCATTTCTGGCCAAAACTACAAACAAGACTTCGCAGGTAGGTTTTTTTTTCCTCCCATTTTCTCTCATTTTATCCCTTTTTGGTGTGCTCGTCCTCCATCCTCCTTTTCTAATTTTCTCATTTTGAGTAGGGATGTGAGTCTGAAGTGAGAAGGGGTGTCCGTGGGTAGGAATTTCAGGTGGGTTTAGCTCCTTTTTGGAAAGCTTTTCCCAAGAGTGGCTTCTTCGCTTTCTCTTACACACTCCCTCTCTCTCCTTGCTTTTCTCTCCTTTTTCCCTCCCCCAAATAATTTCCCCTGTACCTGTCCATTCAGGTAACCAAAGGTGCCCTTTGCTACCCAGCCTAGGAAAAGTTTTGTTGAGAATTATATGGCTGGAATAAAAACTCATCAAGGGGAGAGGTCCTGCTCTATTTTCGCATCTAGTTCCAATTCATTATATTCAGCAATTAGGACTTGGCAAATACCTGTTAATAATTACAAAACTTGGTCAGTTACAGACCTACAAATTCGGGGGCAATTCTTTCTCTTAGACATGGCAGTTCATCCTCTCCCACCGAGAAGGCTGTTTTCTAAGCAGAAAGTTGTCTGTTTTTGTCTGCTTAGCGAGTTTCATTTCTTTATTTCATTCTTTGTGTGTGTGTGTGTGTGTGTGAAGTAACACCTCACTTCTGTGATTATAAATAAAGAAGTGAAAGTCCTCATGGAACTTGAGTCGTTTACCAAAGTGGGGGGGGGGCACTACAGCTGGGAAGAAAACTGCTGTCAGGGTACCAGGGTTTTAAATTAGGATAACTTTTAAAATTGTATTTTAAATGGCAAAGTAATATAAACCTGGATTTAATAGAAGACACATACACACATATATCCCATTCCACACTTTGGCACTGAAAAGTCGAGAGGGAGATAGCAGGAGTTCCCAGGAACAGTGATGAGCCCGGCTAACATGAATGTGTTTATCTCCCACCTACTGATATATTTTACATGCTCCCCCTGTAATGATGAAGGTAAGATTACTAACTCCAGACTTAGGAGTAACAGGCAAAGATAAAGTTTACAGCACAAATGTCCTGTCTCTCTCTCACACACACACATGCTTATAAAACTAGCAACTTACTTTATTAAACATGTATTTATATGCAATCGTGTGTCTCAGGGTGAATACAGAGAGGCCAGCTGTTTCATCCCAGACACTTGTGTGACTATTTCTTTATTTCAGGATTTCCCCTAACAATTTCAAATCAATAGGACAAGGAAAGAAATGATAAAATGTGTCAAACTTAAATTAAAAGTCTCCTACTATGTATGCCTAGGTAAATTTAAGGTGCTTTCTAAAATATCCACTTCCCTTTCTCTCTGCCCCCCTCCCTTCACCCCTCTCAGCAAACGTGTGGAAACTGATACTCACTTTCCAGGTTTTCTGCAAAGCTTCGAGCACAGGAGACAATAGGTGCGGGGCGTGGGGACTGAGTATGTCCGGCAGAGAAAGGGTTAAGGGCCCTTGTGTTACAGTTTGCATCTGTTACATCTTTTATAGCCCCCTGTTTAAACTAATCCTCGAGGCACAGCATCTTCCCTACCTCCACCGAGTTTTCAGGATTCTCTTCCTCTCCTGCCTGCCTCCGAGTTTCCCCTTCTCCAAGTTTTGACAGTTTCAGCTGAAAAAATGCAGCGCCTCTCTCGATTTTTAGGTACAAAAGTTTCGAAGCCAGAAAGGATACGATCATTTAGTAGAGCTTAAAAGTATTGCCGTAGCGGTTGGACTTTCTCTTTCCTTTCTTGAGGGAAAAAAATTTTTTTCTACTAGAACTATTTAAGGGAACCAGTGTGGGGGAGCATGTGTGTGAGTGAGGTGGGGTAAAATACTTAAGTAAATATTGTCAAAGTGGCGGGGGTGGGGGGTAAGGGACAGTGTCCAAAGAGGCTTATAATTATATTTCTTATTGCGGCGTAAAACGGGAAATCTTAATTTGGGGGAGGGGGTGGGGGAAGAGACAGTGCCTCGATAAACTCCGAAAGGGGAGGGGAGGGGGCGCTGGGCGAGTGGGCTTCCTGTAATTACTATTATCAATTTGCCCGAGTGTGCTTCATCCAGGGGCTGTTTCGCCTTGTTTGTTTGTTTGTTTCCTCTGGGAAATGGGGGTGGGGGGAGATGAGAAAAGATGAGAGCGAAAAGAAAACCTCGCCTCACCCCAAGTTCCCGAGCTTGGGGCTGAGGACTTTTCGGAGGAAAGGGTCCGCCTAGCCCTGAGTCAAGCGGTCTTACTGTACCGCCGTGTGCATTCCCTCATACGGTCAGGAGTTATGACTCATTTTGAAGATGTAATTCTTGTCTCTCTGATCCCCTCGCGGGTGCTACACACCAAACAGTTACAAACACAAAGCGCCTCGGGGCCAAGGCTGGGGGTGGGGGGCGGGGAGGGGGCCGCCGAAGTTTCGCTTTGGCGTTGGGGGGCGCGGATGGGTGCTCGCCGGGGCCCTGGCCCGGCTCCCCTGGGCGGCCAGCGCGCGTTTCAATGGGCGCGGGCGATGCCCACATTGTCGCTGTGTTTGGTTGCTAGATCGAGCCTGCGTGCTGCCGAAGCAGGGCGCCGAGTCCATGCGAACTGCCATCTGATCCGCTCTTATCAATGAAGCAGCCGATCATGGCGGATGGCCCCCGGTGCAAGAGGCGCAAACAAGCCAATCCCAGGAGGAAAAACGGTAAGAAGCCGCTCGAACCAAACTTTTCCGGGCCACTCCGCGGCTCGAGACCCAGGGAGTAGGAGGGGGAAAGGGAAAAGGAACCGAGGCGGCGGCGGCAGCGCCCAGGGCTCCAGGGCGAGCCTCCCTCCGCGGCCGGCGCCGGAGCCCGGCGCGCGCGGCGGCTGGACCGGGGGGGAGTTGGGGAAGTGCGGGGCAAAGTGAGCGTCAGGCGCCCGGGGGCTCCGAACGCGGGGGTCCGGCCAGGGCCCCGCGCCCCCAGTTCCTCTGCACCCCTCTAGCCCCTGCCTCCGCCCTCCCTCCGCCTCCGCCTCCCGCTCCGCTCGCGCCCGGCCCGCCCGGTCTACGGCCGGGCTTCGGCAGCGTCCGGCGAGGGCAGGGCGGGGGCCCCGGCGCCGGGTCGCGCAGGATCCCGGGGCGGGGGCAGGGGTGGCAGAGAGACTGCAAGGGCAGGAGAGGGGACCCGGGGCTGCGCCTCAGCGAGGCTGAAAGTTTCTTGCCAGAGTCGCCCGGCCGCCTCTCGGTGCGCCAAGTAACGGTCCGCGGGCAGCAGGGCCCGGCCCAGCGCGCCCAGACCCCGGGGTGGGAGGGACTCGGCCGGCCCCTCGCAGGGTCCGGCGGGGTCGGTGACCGCTCGGGGATGGGTGACTCCTCTCCAGCAGGCTCTGGCCCCCCAGGCCGGGGACGCTAGGAGTCGCAGGGCGCAGCGAGACTTTTCCCGGCAGTTTCTACTTGGTCTGGAGGAGCCCGTTATCCAGGCTGAGTCAGGAAGGAGGAAGGAGATGGGGGTGCGAAGGGCACACGCAGATCCGAGGTGGGATATTAAAGCGGGGGAGGTGGTGACAGTTTGGTAGGTCCATCTTGGAGAGAGCCAAAGAAGGGACGGGGGAGAGAGAGAGAGAAACAGAGAGAGGAAGAGCGAGAGAGAGAGAGACCCCCTAGGTACTACCCCAAACAAAATCGTGGGAATAAAAGAGAAAAGTGATTGGCAAGAGCGCGGAAGGCGCCTGGGGGAGGGGAGAGGGCTGGAGACTAGCGAGGGTGCCGGGGGGGGGGGGGGAGCTGACGGAGGATAACTGAGTTTAAAAAGAAAGAAACCAACCCCCGAAAACAAACAAGCGAACAAGCGCCAGCCCAGACTCGGAAAGGAAACTTCTCGCTCCCCTAGCTCTCAGCCGGATCACCCGGCACGGGGCCGCGTAGACGCTCCCGAGGCAGGCGTGGGGACGCAGCGACCACCCGGCCTCCCGGCCTCCGCAGCCCCAGCCCGCGCCTCGCAGGGACCGCCCGGGCCCACTTGGAGCAACTTTCCTCTAGAGAAGACAATTGTGCGCGCCCCCGGCCTGCCCCAGAGCTGCGCGGCGCGGGGAGGGGGCGGCTGGGGGCGCAGTGTGAGGTGCTGGAAGGAGCAAAACACAAAGACGAGAGAATTTTGATTAGAGACAAACGATGCTTCTCTCTCTCTCTCTCTCTCTCTCTCTCTCTCTCTCTCTAGTTTTTGTGTGTGTATACGCGTGTGTGTGCGTCTGTGTGTCTTTTGCTTGTTGTGGTGGAGGTGTCGAGCCATATGGGGGAGTGATAGAGGAATTTTAGTCAGAAACTGTTCGTTACGTTATCCTGCCTTTCCCCTTTGTGCTGTCTTTGATCTATTTGCTTGGCTTAGTATTACAGAAAAACAAGTACAATAATATATTCCGAGCTGCTTCCCCAAGATTCAGTTCAAGCTGCTTCTTTTTAAGTCTCTTCCTCTTTCTCCCTCTCCCTTTTAATTTAATTTTTTTTCACTCTGGTGTCTGGCATTATTTAAGGTGGTCCTTACACAGGAGACCTCCCCTTCCCCATCTCTGAGTAATTTAGTAGACACTAAAATTACACCTAATGTCCCCCTCTCCTCTCTTGTGTTTCCTCTGTTCCTTTTATTAAATGTTGGTTATTGATTTTCTAAAATCAATGTCTGTTGTGGGGCTTTTTTCCCCCTCTTACAAGTATCTAAAGCACGTTGCTGATCAACTGGATAACAAAAGCTTTGTGTCAAGGAGGCTTTTCCCCCCTTCTCTTAAACAGTCTTTTTTTTTTTTTTTTTTTTTTTTTTTTTTTTTTTTTTTTTAGAGAAAAGAGAATGAGATTTAAAACAAGGCTCCCAGAGGCATTCTTTCGCAGGAAAGACTATTTAAAGTGTGCGTTTCTTCTTGCCTTCCTCCTTCCACCTCCTTCGGGATTTTGCCACCGTTGACCAGCCTGGCCCCAGCAGTAAGGTCAGGCCAGAGCCCAGGTCTAAGGAAACAGAGGGATCCCGGCTTCCTGGGAACGCCTGGGGGACCTGGCAGAGAGGGAGGCCGGTTGGGGGCTTCGCGAGTGGAATGAAGTGCCAGAGATGTCCGCAGTCGTGGACACTGCAACCATTTCCCCTCCACCCCGCCACTAACTTGGGAGAAGCCTCCACATTCCGATGTGGAAAGTTGAATTGCACATTTTAAGGCATTTAGCCCAGATCCTACACACTTAACATCAAGCCTGTCTATTGCTTACAGCTTATCTAACTTTGACTGTTACCTGTCTCCTTTTCCAAATAATCTATGGGAAAACATGCTGTATATTGGTTACTTGTCAGTGTTTTTCATTGGGTTTAATCTGACTGAGCAATGTTCTGGTTTTGAGAAGCAGGTAGAAGTGTACTACCACCCCCACCTCTTTTTCATTTTCTTTCTCATCAAACACGTATCCAATGCCTTTCCCTTTGGGAATTGCTAGGATTTATCTGAACTGAGTGGATTTTTCTTCTTTCCTGGATTCATGGAAAAGATGTCACTTTTGAGCTTGTGTCTTTGCTGATAACACTAAATATGATGATGCTTATCAAAATCATATAGAAATTCCTGGAAAGAAATAATGGCAATAATAATCATAGAAGTAGAAGCTGCGAGAAAAAAATAAAAGATGGTCATCCAGGAACCTAGAATGGCACTTTATATAATTTTAATGAAGTCAACAGTGTATATATAGACTAAGGCGACAGGAGATAAAATGTGTAAAGCAGTGTGTGTGTTTGAAAGGCTGGTCAAGAACGTGAGTTAGAAGACAATGCTGTGTACATTTAATTAAAAAGCAAAGGAGAAGGAGGCAGTTGAAGGAAAAGAAATGTGCAAAGAGAGAAACAAGTATCTAAAATACAACCTTCCAGATTCTCAGGCTAGCAAGATGCCTGGCAAAGGCAGTGCCAGGGCCAAGTTAACCCATAGCAGGCAGTCAGTCTCCTTTCCCCCACATGGAAAGGATGAAATCTCTTCCCAGAAAATAAGATGTGCGGGAGGAAAAAGGGAGTGGGGTGAGGGGGGAAGAGGCAAAAAGCGAGTTGCCCGCAGACAAGAATGTGTGTCGGTTTCAAGAAAGTTCAGTCAGATGATCTTGTCGCCTGACTCACTTTGTAACACTTTCACTGAAGCTGGAGAGGAGGGGGAAACCCAGCCCCCCCTTTTCCTTTCCCCTGATTATACCCCACTATCTCCACACAGCCTTGGAGTCAGAAATGAGCTCTCGGAGCGGGAGATGCCCTGCTGCTGCTTGCCCCCGGTGCGGCCCATGTGTAACTTGCAAAGTTTGTTGCTTTTGCCCCTGATTCGGGCAGCGAGTCCTGGGATGCTCCTGCTTCCTTCCTTCCTCCCACAGAGCTCGGGAAGACGGGCTGCCTCCCCAGCCCGCCGCCTTCTAGCATCAGCCTCTGAAAAATCTCACAGACACATGCGCGTTGTAGCAAAAATCAAATCCGGAAACTTCTTGTTTCAGAGAAAGGAATAAAGTTGTCTTTTCAAGGAAAACTGAATTAGGAGGAGAGAAAAAGTAAATAAGAGAAGGAAAGAAAAGTTAAATTTGATTTTTCTCCAGAGTTTCCACTAAAGGGTTGGGGACCGTGTGAAGGAGAAAGGGAGCTTTTTACAAATGCCTTTGGTCTCTGATATTCAGTGGCAAAGAACAGGGACCAAGTTAAATGTTTTCAGGGCTTTGGATCCTGGAGGAGAAACAATCAGAAGAGCAGAAATTATTATCCCTGTTTAAAATAAGCCCTCATTCTTTATCACTTCCTTAAAGGAGTGGAGGTGCTGGTGGTGATGCTTAGAGGCAATGAGGGACGGAGAAGTTGCTCCCGTTTCAGAGATGCTTAGATGAAAAGGAAAGAAAATGCAGTCAACCCCTTCTCCAGAAGGTGACTCCTAGCTCTCCTCCCTGAGAGGTGAAGTTGGGATGGAGCAACAAGAGTCTCACACACTTAGGCAGGGAAGTTTCCTTCGGATCACAGTCAGTCTAGACTTGGTTATCTTTGCAAAGTGTGGAAATCTTTGGCAAGTGGCTTTCTTCGTAAAGTTGATGAGCTTATAGGGAGCCTGTTTTGCTGACTCTCAAAGCACTTGGGCAGCTTGTGTGGCAGGTACCAGTTCTGAGGGCGCTCCAAAGATATCCATCTTCATCCTTTTTTCTCTGTGGAGATCTACTGCAAGTTTTGTCACGCTGCACACACACAGGGCTGGGGGCTAAGTATCTAGGCTGATATTATTTGTTTCATTTTGGTTTGGAAAAGCTAAGTCAATTGGGGTAGAAACATGCTTTCCTTCGTAGTAGAGCCAGTAGGCTGGTGGTGTCCATAGGGTGACAGTCTACCAGGAGTAAGGGTGGGCTGAGGATTTTAAACTTTGCATTGTTTCTCTGTTGCCCAATACAAATAAATTCACATCTTCAAGCATGTGTTTTCAAATAGGGTAAAACCAAGATTAAAGTTCCCTGCTCAACTGCTATGTCATAGGCTTCAATGTTTCTCTTCTTTCTTAATTTGCTTAAAGAAAATTCCAAGAGGGTATTAAAGACCCTAATGCCATGTTAAGAATATTTCCTAGGAAAAATGTGTGTCTACCCCGAAGGTAGGAAAGGAGGGCGTTGCTAGCCTCTCTAGCAGTGCCGCATTTATTCTAAGATGTGGGAGATTCTTTTCCTTGCAACAGTTTTTGTCA